AAAAAAAAAAAAGCTGGTTGTTGTGGCACACATCTTTAATCCCAGCACTCCTAGGCAGAGGCAGGTGGATCTCTGTGAGTTCCAGGCCAGCATGGTCTACATACTGAGTTCCAGGCCAGCTGGGGCTACTGGGAGACCCTGTCTCAAAAAGACCAGAAAAAAGAAGAATCACTGTAGAAAATGGAGTGATTTAGAACTCACCGATTAAAAAAATATATTTTATTATTTTTATTTTTGTGTATATATGTATATTGCCTGAATGTGTGTAAGTGCACCTGTGTCATGCAATGCCCATGGAGGCCAAAAGAGGGCAAGAATCCCCTGGAACTGGAGTTACAGATAGTTATTGGCTGCAACGTCAGTGCTGGGAATCAAACCCGGGTCCTCTCCAAGAGCACCCAATGCTCTTAACTGCTGAGCCATCTCTCCAGCCCCAGAACTCACCAATTATGTACTAACCTTTGACACCAGAGATGGTAGCAGTTTGTAATAAAAGTCTAGTTCTCAAAACCAGATAAATCTTAAATTCCCATAAACCTTCATGGTCATTTGGACCAGTTCTAACAGTACTTTACACATGCTGTATTTACAAGTTTCTAGAACTTCCCATGAAAGAAAATTTGAGTTTTCTTGAGAAACAGTTTCTGTTTAGAACAAAATGTCCAAATTTACTCATGTTCATTATACCTTTGACTACACCCTGAAAACACTTGTTTTCTTGCACTCACCTGTAACATTAGAAGGCTATACTCTTGTGATGGGACAGTTTGAAAAATTCTTACACACGTAACACAGAAATGACCAATGCAGCTCAACACTCGTTGTTTATTAAATGCTTTGCAAGAAAATACAAGCACATCCTCTAACATTTTCTTAAATGTAATGGGAGTTAGTGATGTTGGCTTCTACTTTAAAATCTGTTCTGACAGAGTTTCTGATAAGAATGTCAAAATGGTGCAGCAAGTTTGGAACATAGTCTGGTTAATGCCTTAAATGGTTAAACCTAATTACCATGGTATGTGCCATTTCCATTCCCAAGTAGATACCTAAGAGAAATGAAGGCACATGACCACATCAAGATTTATACACAAATAGGTACCAAAACACTACTGAAATCTATAAAAACATAAAAAGTATATTGGTGGTGCTCTGGGGATGGCAGGAGTGTGTGGGAATAGCTAACAAGCATGAGTTTCTTTTTGAGATGAGAAAATATTGATTCTGGTGATAGCCACACATAACTGTGGACATACAAAAGCCATTATTTTAAATGCATGAATCCTATGTTTGTGAATTATAACTTAATAAATCTGATACTTAAAGAATTGGAGACATGAGGTTCTTGAGAATCAGCAAACCTCTAGGAAGGTTTTCTGGTCAATGGTAAAAGATTTAGTGAAACTGAAGTCTAATTTACTTAATTGTAATTGGAACCAGCTTGCAGTATTTTTCTAAGTACATTTCTAAAATGTGAATGTTGTTTAAGAAAACACATCATTACATCAGATATTCCAGGCAGCTTGCCATGAAACATTTTTGAAAAAAATCCAGGGCACGGGGAGATGGCTTAGTGGTTAAGAGGGCTTATTGCTCTCGCAGGGACCCGAGTTCAGTTCCCAGCACCCACATCCGGCAGCTGACAATCAATCACCTGTTAATGCTAGTTCCAGGGGATCCAATGCCTCTTGCGTTGAAGGGCATCTGCACTCACGTGCACATACCAAATTAAAGTCCATTTAATAAGCTCAGAGTGTATATAGTCTCTTGTAGTGGTTTTTTTTTTTTCATATTTTTCTTTTTTTATGTGTATGTGTGTATTGCCTGCATGTAGGTAAGTGCACCTGTGTCATGCAATGCCCGTAGAGCACAGAAGAGGCTGTCAGATCCCCTGGAACTGGAGTTAAGAACTGCTGTTAGCTGCCATGTGGGTCCTCTGCAAGAACCACCAGTGTTCTTAACTGCTTAGCCATCTCTCTAGCCTCTCTTGTAGTGTTTTTACTATACAAAGTTTTCTGCTATGGTTGGGCATGGTAACACATGCCTTTAATCCCAGTACTCAAGAAACAGAGAGGCATGTGGATCTCAGTGAGTTCAACATGGCTACATGGTGAGTTCCAGGCCTGTTGGGGAGACCCTGTCTCAAAAAGACCAAAAACAAACAAAAAACAACAAAGTTTTCTGCTATTATAGAAACAAAATAGTGTAATTGTAAAGAACAAAGACAGTATTTTCCTACCCTCATTTCTCAGCACATATCAAATTACCATATTTTTACATTGTACGGTCAGAATAAAAATCTTTAAAATAAAACATTCTATGTGTATGTTTTGCCTGCATATATATATATATTTTTTGGGGGGGGGTCTTTTTTGAGACAGGGTTTCCCTGTAGTCCCAGCTAGCCTGGAACTCCTTATGTAGACCAGGCTGGCCTGGAACTCAGAGATCCGCCTGCCTCTGCCTTCCGAGTGCTGGGATTAAAGGCGTGCACCACCATGCCTGGCTGAAAAATTTTAAATTAAAAATGTCAGTCAACTCTAAAAACACTGAAGATGTTCTATGTTCTCTAGCATCAAATATTCAGCTAGAATTTAATTCTTTATTAAACTACACAAGCACATCAATCTCATTAGCATGCAAATTTGCTTTCATTTAATAAACAGTAAAATTTTATTTCTTTTTTTTGAGACAAGGCCTCACTATGTAGCACTGGCTGGCTTTGAACTCAGAGATCTGCCTGCCTCTGGCACCCAAGCACTGAGATTAAAAGTGTATACCACCATGCTCAGCTTTTTAAGGTTTTGTAAAATTAATAAATGTTTGATCTATACATTTAATTTTATAAACTTACATACCCAGGGTCACATAAAAACTTCTTGAGCTAAAAGGAGTTGAAAAATTAAGGCCAGGTGTGGTGGCGCACACTTTTGATCCCAGCACTTGGGAGGCAGAGTTAGGTGGATCTCTGTGAGTTCTAGGCCAGTCTGGTCTACATAGCAAGTTCCAGGCCAGCTGGGGCTACAGGGAGACCCTGTCTCAAGAAAACAAAAACAAACAAACAAAAAATTATGAAGCCCTTGATCCAATAGATCAAGATAAACAATAAACAGTTTAAAAACATTTAAAACAAGATTCTCTACGATACACTGGCTAGGAAAGGAGGCATCTCTGAGAAAGAAATGCCTGAGGTGAGTAAAGAAGGTACCAGTCACAAGAAGATCAGGAGACAGAATTCTACCATTCTTCAAGAGTAGAATCAAGAGGAGGAGCAGGATTAACTGTTACTGGTGACCAACCATCCTCTGTGATTCTCATCCACTAATCTAGAACAAGGATATCTGGAAAAGATGGCTTTTAGACTATGGGTGGACTAGGATGTTGATCTATTTTAGAGTGGTAAAAGGTCTTAGAACTCTAAGGAAGCCATTTCTGGGTAATCCAGCTTTCTCCTTTTCATGTGTCTATAGGGCTTCTATAGGGCTCTCTGCCTCCTGAGTGCTGGGTTTAAAGACGTGTGCCACCACACCTGGCAGGACTCATTCTTATAACCTAGTATTAGCAAGAAGCACTACACTAAAAGCCCCTGGACTCAAAGACAGATCAGACAGACACTTGAAAGTCCTTATAGGCATAAACAACAAATACAAAGTCAAAGTGGGCTGTATGAATGAACTATAAATTGTCGTCTATCCAGAGGTTATGTCAGCAGGGGAATTGCATGGAGCCTCATGGAATGGAAGGTCAGAGTGGGAGTGTCTATGACACCTGCAGATTTGGACATGTAGGTAGAACAAACATTTATTTGTTCTGGAATCCCTAATTCACATTAAATAGATTTTAAAGTATTTTCATCAGCACAAGCTGGTGGCAGAAGACAGAAGGCTTGACATTCCTCATGCCTCTTTATGATATTCAGTATTTTGCTAAACTGAATCAGTCATTTGTTGATTTATTACAATAAGATGAGTTACCAGTTTCAGAATTAAAGGAAAACTAATCTGAAAAAAGATGATCTTTGGAATCTCACACTACATCATTCATCTAATTTCAGAGGAACATTCCTAAGAGTTTTTAATCCTAAAACTAAGTGATACATGTTTCTCAACACACACACATAAAATACGTGTATGTGACTATAATATAAATATTATTACTGTACCTTTAGTTCAGAACCTCACAAAATTGTTTTAGATTTAAATTTTTTTTTTTTTTTTTAATTTTTGGTCTTTTTGAGACTACTCTCCCTGTAGCCCCAGCTGTCCTGGAACTCACTATGTAGACCGGGCTGGCCTTGAACTCACAGAGCTCTGTCTGCCTCTGCCTCCCCAGTGCTGGTACTAAAGGTGTGTGCCACCACGCCCAGCCAGATTTTAAATTTTTTAATTTTATTTTCTAGACAGAGTCTTGCTGTGTAACTTGTAACAGCTTCAAACTATCTTCCTGCCTCAGCCTTCTGAGTGCTGCGATTATAGATCACCACGCTTGGCTCACAAACTTATTTTAAAGTTGCATTACTAAAGTGAAGTTTGTACTTCAGAGAAAAAGAAATTTTCTTTTTCCATTTTTTGTGTGTTGTACATAATGTATATATGGAGGACCGAGGCTGATGTTGAGAATCACCCTCGATCACGCTTACATTCATTGATTCACTGAGACAGTGTCTCTCATCAAACCCCCAGCTCCCCAGTATGGCTAGTCTCACTAGCCAGGTTGCACTGAAGATTCCCTGTCTCTGGGCCCCTTGCCCTATGCCCACTTAGCTTTAACTTGGGTTCTGGGGATCCAAACAGTCCTCAAGCTTGTGCAGCAGGTTCTCTTTAACCATCAAGCCATCTCCCACCCCCACCCACCCCACCTCAAATTTTTTCATCTATCAAACTTCCTGATCAATCCTTCAAAATTCCTTCCCAGTGTAACATCTTTAACCAGTGAAGAAAAAGCTAAACATTTTTTAAGGTAGTATCTCAACATGTCCAAAAAATAGTCCATGGCCAAACTCACCATACAGAGCTGTCCAAGTCTGATTAATTACATCTAGACACACAGTTCCTGACCTGAAACAGATGGAAAGAATGGCACTTTTTAAAACAGTTGCATGCTTCTGGCAACTAATTTTTATCCTTCCCCAAATTACTTTTAATAGATACTTAAAAAAAAAAAAAAAAGCCAAACCAAACCAAACAAAACACAATACCCAGTTGGGAATATGGTAAGAAGCAGAACATTTACAAGATATTTTATGTCTCTTTTATAGATTAACAAGGAAGAATAGCAACCATACAATGAAGAAACCAGAAAACACCTGAACCAGGTGATAAGAATTTACCCTGGGAATCAGTGTAGACAGATTTGTCATTCTCTGAGAAAAAAAAACTTCACTGTATGGTTAAGTGTGTGCACACCCTTAACCACATACCCAGAGACTAACTCACATCAAGGGTCAATTTATAAAATAAGTGCTCTTTATTTTTTTGAAATGTTAAAATTAACTTTATACATGAAAAAGGTAAGTTGAAGAACTGTTCCTGATTAAGAACTCACTAAGCAGGAAACTTGACAACTAAAGACAGTTATGTGATTCTAGACTGAATCCTTCATCAAAAAGAAAAAAGTGAAAACTACATTATTATTGCAATACAGCAAATTAGATAAAAGTATTACATACCTACTAAATTCCTGCATCTGACTACTTTACTGTGCTACCAACCTAAGAGAACATCCTTGTTGTTGGGATGGTTGATACACTGACATATTAAAGATTAGAGGACACAAAGTAGTTATATAACCTACTAGTTCAGAAAAACTTCAGAAAAAGTTCAGAAAAAACTTCACATGCATGTTGTGAGACAGCAAAACTGAATACTGTAAAGAGTAAACAGTATAGTCCAAATAATTATGTATTCTAAACAGCACTGGAAGGAAAAAGCAGGTTATACTGGACTTATTACAAATAAGTACTAATGCCAGGCATGGTGGCACAGGCCTTTAATCCCAGCACTTGGGAGGCAGAGACAGAAGGATCTTTGTGAGTTCCAGGCCAGCTGGGGCTGCAGGGAGACCCTGTCTCAAAAAAGATTAAAAAACTAAAAAAACAAAAAACGCAACTAAGAAAATGCTATAGGGAAAGAAAGCAATAACCAAGACTCTAGCAGTGCAATCAATAGCTGCACTGGAATTCAATTGCTTAGACTATCACATCTCTAGAATTCTACAGTTTAAATGACTTCCTACCTTCCCATAAAATTCAAAACGCTAACTGATGATTCTTTTACAACCCAGAGATTAACTTTAATCAAAAGCAGCTGCTGCTAAAACTTAAACATTCTTAAATAGTTACTTACGCTTCATCAATGTTGGGGTGGAAAATTTTATTCATGAATCCTGTAAAAAGAGATGTTAATTAGCAGCAAAAAGTATCTAGAGAACAATGATTTCTAAAAGTACATCAGTACTGGAGAGAATCTCAGTGTTGGGGAAAAAAAGGTGCTAAAACTCAAGTTTTCAGTCTCAACCTTCGATCTCTGGCTACTTATTATAGTCTCCTGGAGCTTATTGGTTAGGAGCACTGTCTGTTCTTGTAGAGGACCTGGGCTCAATTCCCAGCACCCACAAGGCAGCTAATAACTGGCCCTAACTCCAGTTCCAGGGGCTCTGATGCTTTCTCTTCTGACCTCCATGGGTACTGCACAACATGGGTGCACTTATATACAATGCAGGCCATACACTCACACACATAAAATAAAAATAAAATATTTAAAAAAAGATTATACTCTCCTGATAACTCCAAATAAAATCCAAGAGATAGATAACAAGAAGACTTTGGGAGCATGTAGCTTTTTATATAAAATAATCTTAAAAGCAATTGTTTCCTGAGTTATGGAGGTATCTACTAAAAGAGAATTTATAATATTAAATGATCTATAAACTTCACTGACCTCTAGCAGCTTTACTGTTCAAGCTTTAGATAAGGTTCTGCATTTGAACTTGTGCTTTTGAAGCCTGTTTAAGGGTACCATTTGGTTCTACCACATGCAGAACATGAATGAAGGTGCTGTTAGGAGGAACACTGCCTCTAAACCACAAAGGATTTCACAAGAACAGTGACCAAAATATTTCCTTTAATTTTAGTCTACTCACTCAAGGAAACCCAGTTTTGATTAAAATTGAGGCACCAAAGAAACGAGGCAAGGAGTTCTAAATTCTCTTAGATAACCTAAGATTTATTAACTTTTAAATAAAATTTTATTCCTAGAAAAAAGTATAAACTTTTTAAAAAAATGCTTATATTCCTATTAACTTTAACTTAAAATTGATTTAACCAGTAATGCACACAATGACAATACTGTAAAGCAGAAGATCCATTTTTTTTTTTTTAAATCTACTACTACCAAGAGAATCCTGGAATGTTTAAGTTACTTTGATGCAAAAAAGGCTACATCCAATATTAATTTTTTATTAAAGAAACTTAAAGACGTCTTAATGTCAACTTTTTTTTTTTTTTTTTAAGTTTTTTTGAGACAGGGTCTCTCTGTAGCCCCAGCTGGCCTGGAACTCGCTACGTAGACCAGGCTGGCCTTGAACTCACAGAGATCCACCTGTCTGTCTCTGCTTCCCAAGTGCAGAGACTAAAGGCATGTGCCACCATGCCCAGCTCTTCTACTGTCAATTAAAGTTATGCATAAGCTAATGGAAATGATGTCTTAAAAGGAGAAAAATTCTTTGTGACCCTAGATAAATGCTAACACACATGTCCAAGAAAAGCCCTGAGGAAGCTAGAAGTAATGTTGTTTATAGAAGCCAAGACTAAACCCAGTCCTATTCATGGGACTAGAGCACCTGTAGAACAACCATCTACTACGAATCTTATCTAGCCAGACATAATGAACTAGGTCCATACAAGCTGATTTGGATAGAGCTAAAGTTGAGTTTTAAAAGAAAAACAAAAGATGGTAATGTAGGAGCTGGAGAGATGGCTCAGCAGTTAAGAGCACTGATTGCTCTTGCAGAGAACCCAGGTTCGATTCCCAGCACCCACATGGTAGCTACAAACTGTCCTTAACTCCAGTTCCGGGGGAATCCAAAGCCCTCTTCTGACCTCTGTGGCATTGCACAACAAAGGTGCACTCACATACATGCAGGCAATACACTCATACACATAAAAATAATAAATAAAATATTAAAAGAAAAGTCGGGCGTGGTGGCGCATGCCTTTAATCCCAGCACTCAGGAGGCAGAGACAGGCAGGCGGATCTCTGTGAGTTCGAGGCCAGCCTGGTCCAAGCCCAGGTGGGCTACAGGGAGATACTGTCTCAAAAAGTACAAAAAAAAAAAAAAAAAAAAAAAGGGCATGAAGGTAGAAGTGGGACATTTGGAGAATTTCTGGGGGAGTGGGAAAGAGTTGGGAGTGGATATGATCAAGATACAGTCTATACATGTATGGAATTGTCAAAGAATAAAAAAATATTCTATAAAAAAGGCAAACTGGGGCTGGAGAGATGGCTCAGTGGTTAAGAGCGCTGACTGCTCTTGCAGAGGACCCGGGTACAAACCATACTTAACTCCAGTTCCAGGGGAATCTGAAGCCCTCTTCTGACCTCCACAGTATTGCACGACATGGGTGCACTCACATACATGCAGGCAATACACTCGTACACATAAAATATGAAAATAATAAATAGTTAAAAAAATAAAAAAGGCAAACCACATAGCAGACTAATGTACTATCATGGTACCTTTTAAATATTTTATCATTTCTATTTTATGCATATGTGTGTATTGCCTGTATGCAGGTAAGTGTACCCGTGTCATGCAATGCCCTTGAAGGACAGAAAAGGCTGTTCGATCCCCTGGAACTGGAGTTATGGACAGTTGTTAGTTGCCATGTGGGTGCTGGGATTTGAACCCAGGTCTTCTGCAAGAACAGTCAGTGTTCTTAACCACTGAGCCATCTCTCCAGCCCTCATGGTACCTTTTAAATTAAAGCAAAGCAATAATACTTATTCTTCATGCCTTAGGGGAAAACTGCCAAGGTCATGGTGGAAATCAGGAACAGAATGTGGAAACAGTAGTTTAAAATCTGCCAGAACTGTGGCGCGTTCCTGTAATCTCAGCACCCAGGAGGCAGAAGCAGGGATATTCCAAGTCTAATAGACATCCTGGACTATACCATGAGACCCTGTCTCAAAAGTAAAGATTTTTTTTAAAATTTATTTTTATTTTGTATGTATATCTGTTTGCCTGCATGTATGTATGTACATATGTGCACCATATTTATGACTGGTGCCCATGGAGGCCAGAAGAAGATATTGGATCCCCTGGAACTGCAGTTACAGATGGTAGTGAGCCACAACCTGCATGCTGGGAACTGAATCCAGTTCCTGCAAGCACAGTCAGTGTTCTTAATTGCTGAGCCATCCCTCCAGTCCATGCAAAGAGATTTTATCAAACACTATAGTCCTTTAAAAAGACTGTTTGGATATTATTTGTCTTTTTTTTTTTTTCTTAACACAAGTGTGTACATAGATAAGAAACTGGAAGCAAACATGTTCAAAGGTTAACAGTGCTCAATTCTCAATGGGAACATTTTTGCCACCAAAAATGTACTTTCCAAATTTTGTCACCAAACTACCATCCTTTTAACTAGGACTAGGACCACAGCAACAGCCAACTGTTGTCTTTTAGATTCCTCCAGTACTTCTGCTTCTGTGTTCTGGCACTCCTGAACTTATATGATGCTTAACATTAATAGTTAAAAAACCCTTCAAACAGTTATAAACAATATCTAGCATTCCAAAGTAGATTCAATTACATGAGGGTTAACTAGTGCTTAATCTTTGAAAGAGAAATTATCAACAAAACCAACTATTCTATTTGAGATCTTACATCTTGATTTCTTTTAATTTAAATAACACAAGATTTACACCTGTGCTTTTAATCCCAGCACTTGGGAGGCAGAGGCAGGTGGATCTCTGTGAGTTTGAGGCCAGCCTGGTTTGCATAGCAAGTTCCAGGCCAGCTGGGGTTACAGGGAGACCCTATCTCAAAAAGACAAAAAAAAAAAAAATCATTATAAAAAGACTGGAGAGATGGTTCAGTGGTTAGGAGCACTGGCTGCTCTTGCAGAGGACCCAGGTTGAAGTCCCAGCACCCACATGGTGGCTGACAACTGTCCATAACTCTAGTTAGAGGGGAATCCAATACCCTCTTCTGACATCTGTGGGCACTGCAATGACATGGGTGCATTTACATACATTCAGGAATACATGCATACACTTAAAAAAAAAATCAAAAGACCCTCAGCTTATGAGGCACATGGTTCTCAAGACTAGCTACATATAAGTATATACTATTATCCCAACCATAAACAAACTATGTAACTCAGGCTGGCCTCAAACTTGTAATCCTCCTGCCTCTGCCTCCCAAGTGTTGGATTAAATCCAGGGCCCCAAACAATCTAGGCAAGTGCTTTACTGCTGATTTATCCTCAACCTAGAAAAGTTTCTGGTAAGGAAACAAAACTGAATTATGTGGTGGTTTTTTTTTTTTTTTGAGACAGGGTCTCCCTGTAGCCCCAGCTGGCCTGGAGCTCACTTTGTAGACCAAGCTGGCCTTGAACTCACAGGGATCCATCTGCCTCTGCCTCATGAGTGCGCCACCACACCTGGCTTCAAATTACGTATTTTTTAAAAAAACATTTTATTTCATGTGTACAAGTGTTTTATTTGCATGTATTGTGTGTGCACTACGTGTATACCCGGTGCCTGTTGAGGCCAGAAGAGGGTGTCAGATCCTGTGGACCTGGAGTTATATACTGTTGTTAGCTGCCATGTGGGTGCTGAGAACCAAACCTGGGTCCTCTGTAAGAGCGGCAAATGCTCTTAACCTCTGAGCCATCACTCCAGCTCCCTTATTATGTATTTTAATTCTAAAGAATACTTTTCCTATGTGAATCACAGTAGCTAGTAGCTACTATTAAGAATTCAAAATATGGCTGGGCGTGGTGGCGCAGGCCTTTGATCCCTGCACTCCAGAGGCAGGCAGATCTCTGTGAGTTCAAGGCCATCCTAGCCTACATAGTAAACTCAGGTCAGCAGGGGCTACAGGGAGACCCTGTCTTAAAAACACCAAAAAACACAAACAAACAAAACAAATCCCTGTCTTAAAAAGATCAAAAACAAAAAACAAGCAAACAAAAAAAGAATTCAAAATAAGAGGGCTAGAGAGATGGCTCAGTGGTTAAGAGCACTGGCTGCTCTTGCAGAGGACCTGGGTTCAATTCCCAGCACAAACATGGCAGCTAACAACCATCCTAACTCCAGTTCCAAGGGATCTAACACCTTCTTCTCACATCTGTGGGCACTGTACAACACAGGTGCACTTAC